CAAGCAGAAAAATGAGATGCTACCTGTTTTAGGTCACAGTTTGCCTAGCTGCAGCTTGCATAAATTCAGATCCATAAGCCTGAAGTCAATGGACTAGAGAAAGTATTAATTCATGTGCTAACTGTTCACCCAGGTCAGTTCAAGAAACATATTTTTGTTGCAAGTCTTTTTTCCCTAAGGCTCTAAATTCTTTTAAGTGTGTGGAAATAAATCTATTGATGGAGCTCGTGGAATGAGGTTTACCTAGTTCGAATTAAGCGCTCTGCTAGTTCGAATTAAGTTCGAACTAGCGGGTTTGCATGTATAGCGCCTATCAAAGTTAATTCGAACTAACGGCTGTTGTAGTGTAGACATACCCAGACAGGGCAGTACAAGATAAGGAAGAGAGCTGGCAGCATGTAACCTCTAGAATGAGAAGACCAACTCAGGTATCCCTGTGTTAGAGAACGCTTTAGCAGGGACCTCTTAGGGAAGAAATCAGAAGGGAACATCATCTACCAGAAACATGAGATACGTAGTCCTAGGGGTGGGGGTTCCATGACCACCACCCCCAAAAGAAGAAGATGGGTGGTGGTAGTCAGGGACTTCCTCTTAAGAGGGCCTGAGTCATCCATCTGCCATCCAGACCTGCAATCTTGAAAAGTTCCGTGCGCAGCTGCTCACAAACATGGAGGAGAGCTAGTAGGGGAAGTAGAGGTGGGTGACAACCAGGGAAGCAGTGATCATGAGATGGTTGATTTCAGGATCCTGACAAAAGGAAGAAAGGATTGCAGCTAGCAAGGGACGTGAAGGGTAACAAGAAAGGTTTCTACAGGCATGTTAGCAATAAGAGGGTGATCAGAGTGGGTGTGGGGCCCTTACTGGATGAGGGAGGTAACCTACGGTATGTCTAGACTACATCCCTCTGTTGGCAGAGGGAATCCCTCTGTTGTCAGAGGGATGTAAATTAGACGTATCGAAATTGCTAATGAAGTGGAGATTTAAATATCCTATGCTTCATTAGCATAAAATGGCCTTCCCCCAGTAGGTGATCATGTCTGTCCTGGGCATATGGAGCCTGGAGTGAGACCTACCAGAGGGATGGCACAGCCTAAGCTGTCACACTTGTGCTAGGTTAGGGTATGTCTACACTACCCCGCTAGTTCGAACTAGGAGGGTAATGTAGGCATACCGCACTTGCAAATGAAGCCCGGGATTTGAATTTCCCGGGCTTCATTTGCATAAGCGGGGCGCCGCCATTTTTAAAACCCTGCTGGTTTGAACCCCGTGCAGCGCGGCTACACGGGGCTCGAACTAGGTAGTTCGGACTAGGGTGCCTATTCCGAACTACCGGTACACCTCATTTCACG